ACAGACATCTTCTCAATATCTTTTAAATTCCAGTACTGTAATGCTGCTTGAAGAGAATCTATCAGTCTGTACTAGCCTAATTAGGCAGCATTTATAATCCAATACCAGCTAAAATTCAAGCTGGTCCTGATCTCTTACTGATGTGTGATGTGTTTCTTAATCAAAAGTAGTGTATTTCAATCTATACCTTTGTAATGAATACAAGACATCAGATTTAATGTTCTTATTGTTTGTTATGAAGCTATATCTATATACAAGAAATAAAAGACCTGAAAAGTCAATAGATATATTCAAGAAAATATTCGATTAACAATCAAAAGCAAATATGATTGATTGGAAAATATTAATACAGCTGCAAAACATTCTACAGTTTTGTTATCTATCTTATGCATTAAATATTTAAAGTTGTATTTTTTTTTTGCACCACCCATGTCCTTCAATGTGAAACTTTAATGTTTTCCTTTCTTTGAGAGTATGGTCAATTCCTTTATTTAAATGTAAATTTCTACAAGTTATTTAGATCTGTTATCAACCGTAGTTATTTGCTGATTTAAACTACTACAGAATGTGTTTATATAAAACTTGCACTTACAATTAGTGGAAAAATCTTTGATTTCCTATTCTGAGACTACATTTGGCCAGCCCCGTCTCCATTTACATCAGTGCAGAATTTTGTTTGGCTTTAAGAAGAGTGTTTAGACAAATGGTGTTGGTCTGTTTTATTTAATTTCTTTTCTTTATTTAGTTCTGATATATTCATTTTTCATTTCAGTTTTTAAGGAGGAAAATAAAGGAAGAGGTAAGTGATTTTGATTTTCTGTGCTATTACCTAATTTGACTTTCTTGAAATACATAAGAAATTATACATAATTGCAAGTTTAACTGCTCAATGTGGGTTCTGTGATTATGGTTCCCATGGTTCCCATGCCCAGGCTTAATCATCCAATTTAGGGTCAAGGGGGTCCTTGTCACATGTATTATAGGGCAAATGGTAAACAGGTGTCCAGTCAATCACAGAAAGAGAGACAACCATTCATGCCTATGGCCAGTTTATAATAGCAAATTAACTATCCCATCACTTTTGGCTATGGCAGAAGGATTTGAATTCAGGGCCTACATGCTATGAGGCAACAGTGCTAACTGCTGCAGTGCTAACTACTGCACTGTGTTGCTGGTTATATTATAAGATGCCTATTCTTTTCTATTCATTATTCCCTTAATATATAATGCATCTTTAGGCTTTAGTGCTTTGGTGTTATGAAATGCAACATTCCACTGTGGACTGCCATTATTGCCGTCTTGCAATCTAAACAGATTGTTTCATGTCACTAAAGTAAATGTGAACAAATCTCAGAATTATAAGCATTGCATAAAACAGTAGACCTATCTGATAAAATTGCATTGCTTGAGCAAAGAGGATCTCTGTAGTTCAAGAATCATTGTGAATATGCTAAAGAAGACACATTATGTAGTTTTATCACAGCTCAACTTGTTTGTGTGTGCATGTGAGCGTATGTGTGGGCATATGATAATTTTAAGCTGAAGCTGTTTGGTGCTGTGTTTACAGGATCTCGAGAAGATCGGGACCAAGCAAAGCTCATAGGGGGTGTTGTGGCAGGGCTCGTCCTAGTTGGTATTACAGTGGGACTCATCTGCTGGCTCTGCTGTAAGAAATCAAGGTATTGCCCACAGTGCAGTGACTCACAGGGCAGGGTCAAAGTCATTCTGTAGGTGCATCATAATTTTATATTCCTATTTTCACCACAGACAAGGAACCTGGAAAACCAAGGAGGAAATAAATAGATCTCATGAAAACGAGAAACTAACGCCCATTGACTGTGTTTAAAAGGCACTAGCTGAAGAGGTAAGCATTTGGTTGTGGAAAGCACATGTGCAGTCAGTTTTAAAGGTAAATGGTTAAATTAAAACCTAGTACAATTCCATTCCATGTCTCATTTCTTTAGGTTTCTCTAAGTTTGGCCATCTGCCCTATCATTTTATCTTAGGAGGTGGATGATGGACAAATAGCTTTTGAAAATTTCCCAAGCTAAACTGAGCTAGAAATTTTAAACATGCTTTTGCAAACACCCTAGTTTTATTTTGGATGCTTGCATATTTTACTTTTCATGAAAGCGAGAAACTACCAGGGTCAAAATTATTAGCCTCCCTTATGTTCATAGCTACGTCCTTTCTGACTGCTAACACCGTGCAGTCATTTGCAGTTTTCACCAAGTCTCACACATGTCTCCTGAGCAATCCCAGGCTGTTCTGCTTTGAATTTCTCAAGCTCCTCCACATTTGATGTTCTTACATAGCGGACCTTGGTTCAGACTTTTAATGGGATTCAAGTAGCAGCTTTGTGCAGGCAGACAGAAACATTCGCTTTGGTCTTCTGGATGTAGTTCTTCAGTAGGAGCGACGTACGTTTTCAGTCGTTGTTGTGTTAGAAAAAAACCAATGACCAGGACCCAGTTTTGCTACTGACTGCTTTAGGTTTCTTTCAAAATTTTAACATATCCCTCTCTCTTGAAAAATGAGATTTTCAATCTCAATGAGATTTTTTTACTTAGATAAATAAAGGACTAATAAAATAAAAATTCCCAATGATTCCTTCCACCTTAATAAGATGAGCAGTTTTGTTTACATTATCAAGGACAAAGGATTACAGATCCACTGCACAGCCAACTCTATTGAGAACTATGTGCTTGCTATGTGGTCTTGTATACATGTTCAGAGGTTTATATGTGAAGACCTATTCACACGGGTTAGTTGCTGTATCCCACCCTCCCAAGGTGTGTGTCATAGGTAACATAAGTGAATTAGATATGGAATAAAATACATCATATATATAGTCCTTACTGTCTTTTGCATCGCTAAGAAAACTGTCCTTGTGAACTGGGAAAAAAAGACAAACTTTACAAATGAACTTACAGACTACTTTAATAGTACAGTTTAGAGTCAAATATTCAGTCTGTTACTGTTCTTATTGTCTTTCCTTAGGGATTAATAAATTAAGCTGATTGCCTGTTCTGATTGGAGAAACACATTGGAGAAAATATCTGCTTCCTCAAAAACAATTAATCCCTAAGGACATTATGTGGTTACAGTGTCTTCAAGAAAATTAGACTGCATTAAATTAAATAATACAATATATTACAAAGTTATGAGAAATAGCTCTAATGTATACAAATAGCTCAATTATAAATATCCAGAAAATTACAAAGATATATATATGTCAATTAATATAGATTGACATTTTATTTTCTTATTTTCACTGTAAATAAAACGCATGTAACTATTGCACTGTGTACTGTGAATTAGATGGAGTTGCCGCTCAGTAGATTTGGGTAATCTCAGTCTCTCACTGAACATGCTCCTCTCTGACACTGCCTTAAGGGAGTCTGGAGAGACAAATGTTGCAGGTTTTTATTGCTGGACATGGTGCTTACTGGGTCCAAGGCAGCTACCTGGGCATGGTTGCTGGCCTGCTTCCTTTAGGGTTGTGGCCTGCGGTGCCCTCTTCGTGTTGCACTGGGGGCTCATTTAAAATAAATAAATAAATAAAGTTACATTATTTACAATACATACTGAAAAATAACTAATCTAGGTCTTCTAGATGCAGAAAACGTGGTCACACAACAATACACAGTGCACAACAATACACTACACTAAGTTGTAGTGCCTCTTCACCTCACTGTGCAATACCTTTTGTGCAATACTTTTGTAAATAGTCAACAGTGCAATAGACCTCAATACTTGAAATGTGCAATTCACTTGTATTTTTATTTAGAACCAGGCTCATGGAGGGGGGGGACTGCCATGATTGGTTGTGTCTCATATTGGAACTTCTGGTTTAGATTAGAGATGGACCGATCCGATATTACGTATCGGTATCGGTCCGATACTGACCTAAATTACTGGATCGGATATCGGCGAGAAATAAAAAATGTAATCCGATCCATTAAATATCAAAAAAGCACCTCACAAAACTTGCGACATGGCGTAACTCGTCTCATAACCGTAGCACGTCGGAGCAGTGTGATCACGTGATACAGCGGCTGTGTGTATTTGTAGTCTCGCTACCAAACCAGCATTTCATCTCCAAGGAAGTTATCCCAGAGAGAAGTAAAGCAAGTGTGTAAGTTCCTCTCTGAATGTTTGTAAAGCATTCCAGCGTTAAGCTTAACAACTGATATA